AATGATAGACCAAGAGAGGGTGAAGAATAATGGTGTGCTCCTTAAGAACATGGGTCAAAGGTGTGTGAATTTTGGTCGAGACTAGAAAAAGAGTGTAACACTCCTTAGATTTGATGTCTAAAGAGCTCCACTCCATGGCACTTCATACAACTCCTTGTTGATTAGAACTCTTCACTAGTTAGAACCCTCTGTGGGTAGTTCTTTCTTAAATGTTTGTTTGCTTTAAGGCTTTTCAGTGTATTTTATCCTCATTCGCACACTTTCTCAGAAACTTCTCAGAAGGTCACCCATTCCTAAATTGTTCCAAGCCAAGCATGGTTAATTATGAAGTTCTTTTGTGATGAGTTATCAAACAGTGGATGCATCTTGTTGGTATAGGTAGTATAAATTAATTCTTTAAAGTTATCTTCAACTATACAATCTCAGATTTGTATAAATCTTTGGATTTCTCTCATTCCAGTGTGTCGAGCTGTTACAAGCTCACCAACTTTTGCCTGATTCGTCCTTGAATCACACAGCACTGGGAGAGAGGACCTGTTGTGATACCATTTGTAATTCTTCTTAGATTTGACCTCTCAGTGGTTTCATTTTACGACACTTCACACAGTGACACTTTACACAACTCATTGTTTAGAATCCTTCATCGGTTAAAACTCTTTGTGGTAGTCCTTTCTGAGATGCTTGTTTGTTTTTAGGATCAATGACTGACTCCACATATCAACACAAGACTTTTCAACATGTTTTGTCCTTGCATGCTTTATGAGAAACTTCTTAGAAGGTTACCCATCTCTAAATTGCTCTAAGTCAAACATACTTAATTATGAAATTCTATATTGATGAGCTATCAAAAAGTAGATGCTTCTTGTCGGTACAGGTAGTACAAATTAATTCCTTTAAGTCATCCTTATTTGTACAATCTCACATTTGTACAAATATCTTAATTCCTCTCATTCCAGTTTATCTGGGCTATTACAAGGAGCAAACACAAGATCTTAGAGATTGGCACAAGACCCAAAGAAATAAACAAACTTGGAAAAGGTAACATTGTCTAAAATGAGATAACATCATAGACAGAGTAGGAAAACAATGCCCCTTTTGTGATAGTGTAATCAAGGAAAACATAAACTGAGTAGTATTCGCACTATCAGTACATAAATTGTGAATTGGAATACCGAACATAAAATAGAAAATAAAATAAGTTTTGCCTAGCTTGCATGAAAATAAACCGAGTACTACATGAATAGTTGTCAATGACAATGACAACATGAATAACACTAAAATCAAGGAACCAAGGACCCGGATAGGCAGGCAAATGAACTATCCAAATTATGCAACTGAGGAGGTGGAATTGAAACCATCATTGGTATTCAAAATACGATGGACATGTTCAACATCACAAGGATAGTGGGTGAGCGTGAAATCCGGGTGATGTCCTGCATATGTTGAATATAAAATTATTTTGGCATCTGAGCCACATTTTTAATTGACCTAATTGCTTAACAGTTAAGTCATAACGTTGGAACAGAACCTATAACTGATGCCTATCATTCTTTGATAGGTCCTTACATGATCATTTGGGCCCTAATGGGCCATTAGCACATCATCTGAACAAGCCTAAAGTGTGGAGAGTATGTTAGGAGAAACAATAGGGGGAAAGGAGAGAATGTTGATGTGGCAGAGAGAGGAGTGGAACAATTTGGGTGAGGGAGTTTTCTATTATATTGGTAGGGAGTAATGGGGTCAACACTTTTTGAGGGGTTCAGGAAATTAGTTATAGACAGAGAGTATTAGCCCTTTGTAGGAGCTCAGCACTGCAGCAGTGGAATATCCACTCCACTGTAACCTTTTCTTGTTATTCAGCAGAAATAATACAGCAGCGACGTTCACTTTTCTTTTGAGTGCTCATTATCATACTTTTGTTCTGCCTTGTTATTTTCTATACGGTTCTGGGTTTGTAAGTTGACATTCTTGAGTATTACTCTCAAATAGTGAATAGGTGATGTCCTGCATATCACTCTCCACCTGCTTAACCAAGCACAGATTAGATGTCCATACGAAGAATTAGGTTTCCTGTCTTCCATATTGCCCTTTTCTTTTTGTATAAACTATTGATTATTGATATTGATATTATTAAATTATTGGAAATTAATATAACCAGACGATACTGCTTGGTGTGTCTAAAAGCATCCTCAACCCTATCTTGAAAGGGAGAAGATAAAATATTGTATGGAGCAAGAGAATCAAACTCGTACCTGGATCATGATGACTAACTATCATATATATGTTATCTGCATTCTTGTATGCCTTCTCATCCTATACTTTATTTTTTGCTAGCAGAGAATCAAACATGAGAATAGAGAGGAAGCGATGGATCTCCAGAAATGCTGCTGCGGAATGCAAACCCTGCAGCTTCAACATATGTTCTGTTGATCACAGGAATGAGACGTTGATAGCTTCCAATGACTTCATACCCGCACCTTGATTGCTTTCCCATTGATGGCTTCAGGAGACATTAGTATATACAACTATACTTTGAAACTCAATGTAATTATGTCATTCAAATAATTGGTTCAGAATGTTATTTGTAATTATTTGGAAGGAAACCCTTCCCTTCCTGATGTAAAATTTACAGGGTGTTCCGTGCTTGGTGTGTGGTTTTCTTGGAGATACAAGGATTCTTAAAACTCAACTAGTCCTTGTCACCCTAACACCTGCTTCCTAGTCCTTGTGATGCATACTTTAATTGGGAATGATTAAATTGAATGGTTGGGTTTTTTTAATCACTCTAATTGTAGGGTTTATACTTATCTGGTTGTAGCATATATTGGAGATGAAGACAAGTTTAGCCGATACTGTAGAAGAGTGAATATAATTTGTATTTTTAAATAAAGCCACACCGACTTTCTGTAGAAGTGGAAAAAGAAAACAAGACTTGTTTTCAGACAACAAAGAGAAAATAATCTTTTATATATTTTAAACCCAACAATGCATTTCTTGTGTGAAGGCTCGAGTTCTGTGCTTCTACTCAGATTTTTGGATCGATGACGAAATCCGTTTTACGTTGGATATAGAAGCTGATTTATAGTAAAGAAAAATTACAGAATGAACATTAAAGTGGAAGGTGTTGACATGTTAGTCTTTAAAAAACATTGGTCTGTGACTAAAATATGTTTGATTAAAGAGATAATATCGACATACATTGAGAGGCAAATGATAGTAAATAATTAAATTTAAGAATTTATTTCATATTTTAAAAATTTATTAATTTTAGAGACTAATAAATCAGTGTCTTGCTCGCATTCATTTATTTTCCTTTTCTTAAAATGGTATGAGATTCCACTGTATGAACACTTCTAATTTCATATTTTTATTCATAATATCAATTATTAATTTCACAAGAACCAATTATACAAGTGGATAAATCAACTACTAAATATTATGCTTAAATATGTTCGTATGTCCAATTTGTAGGAGTATTTTTTGCTTCCAAACTAATGAAATTTGTCTTCATTTTTTTAAGAGTAATGCTATACATTCCAAAACCATCTTCCGAAAATTTGTTCGAACACTTAAAACAATCATTCATATTGATCGACTTACATGTTTGACATTATAAAAAATTTAAGCATTCCAAGGATGTTTGAGAATTCGAATTCGAAGGCTTTAGCATTTTTGTTTTTCTAATTCTAATGAATTTTCTGGTAGTCACTTTAGTCTTTCTGTTAGCTTTTAACTAACCGTCACTTTTTTGTCAAATCAGAATCAATCGCATGTTAGTCATTTTTGCCTTTGTCAATCTAAGTTTTAATGTGTACACTGCCAATGCCACATTGGTTCTTGTTCAATCATGCTTTTCGGGAGTCAGGATATTTGGTCCTTGTGTTTGTGGCAATCTTGAACTCGATGAGAGACTTTGTGTTTGTTGACGATGGCAACGAGATGGGACACTACCCAATGTTACTACCTCGTTCTCATTGTGCTTTGGTTGCAGATTGTTCGATCAATAATTTTGAGGGAAATGGAATGATTTGTAACCCTTTATTCATTCTCGCACTTACACTATTTTCAAATAATACTTATCATGAAAGATCATGATTGTTCCATTTGTCAAAATATTAAAATTATGGTTGAAATAAAACAAATAATAACTTGTCTAACTAGTTTTGTTTAGATTTTTTTAGAAATATTACCTTTTTTTTTTAATTTTTAATCACTTCAACCACTTGTTTTTTGAAAGAGAAAAAGAAGATGAGATAGATAAAAGAAGAGGGGAGAAAGAGATAAAAGCCAGATATACATAAAAGAAGATTGAAGAGCGAGAAAAAAAAAACCTCAAAATCTTGTAAGTTTGTGTTAAATGAATAAATTATATGTAAATTAAACAAAGATTTTTCAAAATCTATCATTCAAAATAATTCATTAAATATTTATGTTTTTTATACCAATAGATTTTTTTAAGTTAAAAAATTATTAATTCCTCTAAATTTTACATACTATTAAAAATAATTCTAATTAAATACTATAAAACTTTTTTTATATTAAAAAAATGTCTTAATTCAATACCACAACTTAATAATTTGAGGCCGACGGTGACAACTTTCTTAAACTTCTCTATTTTAATAATGTTTACTGCCTGCAGCCAAGAAACTTATTCTTGCTAGGAAATTTGTGAGCCTGCATAATGAATGGACTATTTTGTGTTTTTGATCTTTGCAAGAAAAGTCTACGAGTCTTTACCTTGGAGAATACAGCATTTCTCAGAAAAATCACAAGTCCTCTGTTTCCTGAGAAACATGGTCACGTTGAAAAGGTTTCCTCTTGATTTTGGCTATACACTCCGTCAAATACTTTTGTAAATACCAAGTACACGTTGGAAACTGCAGAATTATTTTTGATCTTGTTTATCATTTAACTTGGGTTTATGCATAGTGGGCATATGAAATTATGTTAATTTTAATAAGTAGTTCTTTAAAAAATAATAAGAAATTGTACGGAGTAGATAACGATCATCATGGAAGGGCAAGATTATCAATGGCAGATGGATGGGATTGCGTTGCTCACAATGCTTCGCCAAGTCCCAAGGTTCGATCGTACCAAATAAAACGTGACTTCCGTTACATTTGGTATTATTCAATATATTTTACGAAAAAAAATAAAACTATTATCAGAATTAATGCTAGCACCTAGCAGTTATAAATTGTAATTCCTTCTACTATTTTACAATGTCTGCTATCATTAAATTGAAACCCAAACAAAATTTTCCTCCAAGCATCCTTGGAAAAACTATTTTTGACTCATCTTTGCGTCAAAATCATTTTCAAGAGCCTCTTGGGGACTAAGGGAACGATGCCACCACGACGGACCCAAGTTAATTCGCATGGCAGAATTCTAATGGCAGAAAACAAAAACACCTTTGTCCGCGGCCACCATTCTTTTGGCTGGAGTAGTTCCAACAATTCTTTCCAGCTGAAATGCAATCCAAAAACAGGAGTATAATACAATTAACAATTATGAAGAGTGAAAAGCAGAAAAGGAAAACAAGATTAGAGGAGTAGCAGTCAAGAAATACTGCAATAGACTACTACAATCCAGCAGAAAACAAAATTAAACGAAATGTCACTACCACCTTAAATATAACTCCCACATTCTCACAATAATACTACACTCGTGACAATTTTAATAGCGAAAGAAGACCATTAAACAATTTCTCATTCAATTAAGAGCACCACCATTTTGACAAAACTCCATAACCCCTACGATACCATTAATGTTAAAATCTGTAGACGTTATGTATGAGAGAAAATATCCAGATGGTCCAAGCAGTTATACAAGTTAAAGCAAAAATAGGCAGTTTGTCAATGAAGGTTTTTTTATTAAAAAAAACAAACAGATAGCTCTGGATAGACAAAGTCAGTCGAGCTATGGACTGTAGTGGTGAAAAAGCCCATCTATCATCTATAGGCATACTCCAGTCAACAATGTAGCACTAGGAAAGAAATTAGGAAGCAATAATATACCAAGTCATAGAATCCCAATCTTTCCATCTTTCTCTCCCTTTCTAGCACTAATCATCTTTTCATGGAAGTACATGCTAAACCCACACAAAATTCCAGCAAGTAACACTATAAAGGCACATCAAAGAGAGAATAAAGTATTACCCGAAGCTTGTCAAGGAAGGAAAAAAGGACCGTGCATGTCATATTGTCAGACCCATCAAGCATATTCACAATCTGCAACAGAAAAAGGAAAGTAATGAAGAAAAATTGACTTCAGAATCTAGATTGTTTTCAGTGTCACACATAAGAATGACATCTGATGCAAATTATATCAACATAGAAAAGAAATCATGAACAAAAAATTCGATGAAATGCATGTTATAGAAACAATTAAGAATAATAAACTACTGAGGCATATTTTGGTAGTGCTTTTTTGGAGTCAGTTGATTGTGCTGGAGTACAATTCCAAAACTTTTAGCCATAAATTTATCCCTCTCCATCTTTAATGGGACAGGCTTGTTTCCTTACCTTGCTTATGTGGTTTTGCATATTGGTTTTTTCAGTTTTCCAAGGTTGACCATGCAATAGGACTACATTGTTCTTTTAAACATAGGTATTTTATCAATTTCTTTCATTTAACATCTTTGTAGCCATGGAGGATTCCTATTTCATCAGTTTTATGCTCCTTTCTTAGGTCATTATTTATGAGTGAGAGGAAAAGATATCTGACTTTACAAGCCTGCTTACCTCAGGGTAAAATTCCTTCCTCTCTGGGAGAGAATAAATGATTAAATTCTGAACCCCACGAATCTGCCATCAAGAAATAAACTAAATATGTTGGTATTCAGTATCAATAAAAATAAGAATGCAGAGGTAAAAAACGGGAAAGGAGAGGGAAAAATAAATTATTCAATATATACAACCTTATATCTGTGGTAAAAATGAGACCTTTCCGTGTAAAGCATAATTTTTCTTTTGCCTTCGTAAAACCAAAGACGTGCACGAGAAATATCACTTTGTGTTGTATACCTAAATTAACAAAAAATACCTCTCATGAATCAAAATGCAACATAATAACTAGCTTAAAAAGAATTTAGAGAAAAGAAAAACGCAACTACATTATGATCAAATAATCATATTCAACTAAAAAATAAAGAACGATAATGCCATAAAAGAATTGGATCCTTACTCCCCAAGCAGACAAAAGGAGGCATTCTGTGACTTTAAAAAATTTCGGATTCGAATAAATTCAAAGTAAGAATTGGTAAATAACATAGTCCCTCCCTGCATCAAAGAAAACCAAAAATTGAGTCTATGAATTTAAATTATCACATGCATACAAGCTAGAAAAAATATCAAAGTTTTTTTTAAAAAGTAACCTGATCTAAATCTTTTATTCTGGGGAAAACCTGCAACACAAGAATGATTGACATTATTTAAATGACCCAATTGTCAATTTTTTTCAATAACGAGCACATGATTGTTAATACCATTTGGACCATCCTAAGGCACTTATTTAAAGAAATTGAACAGAAAAATTTAGCTCACAACTTCTACGCAGGTGAAGTCAGCAAAAGGATATGCACAAAATAGACAAGAGTTATACCAAGGTAAGCTTAAGTAAATTGAATGGATGCATCATTATTAAACACGAATAAGATATGTACAAAAAAAAACAACACACAAATAAGGACATTTGACATTCAGGGGAAAAATTACAGGTGAAAAACAAATTTCTAAAATGCCAGCAACTACATCCTTTTCTATTGATTGAACGAATTTCCATTCAACAAGAGATAAAACAATAGTCCTCTAATGTCAATAATTATATGAACAACTGCAACTAAAGGGTATTAGAGAATAGAATAATAAATACTTTTATTAACTGTATTGAGTTAGTTTCTATAGTAAGTTTCTGTTAAGCTCATTACGTTAGTTAGTTGTGTTAGGTTTGTTATCTACCTTGTTGAGACTTGTCTATATATGTAGTCTGTATCTCATGAATATGTACTCTAAAGATTTATCAATAATACAATTTACTAAATTCTCTAAACTCTCTCTCATAAAGGGAAAGAAATACATTTCTTTTCTATTTTCTTTATATCATTTTCGATTACATGACTCTTACGTTTAAACTGCAGTATTAAGTATTAACCCAATGCCATGAGTAAAAAAGAAAACAATTAGCTGACTAGAGTTAAAAGTCATGGAGAGACTATTCTTATCCTAATCTATTATGGCTAAATTAATAACTAACTGCCAAGGTTATCAATAAGGTTATACGGCGGATGGCGGCAAGGACCTTTAAGTGCCATATTGCCATGGCGGATGCCATGGCGGTCTATGGCGGACATCATGGCGGACAAAAAAAAACAAAAATATATATACATATAATATGATGCAAAAGTAGAAAAATAACAAACACAGTCACATATTAAAACCAACCATATAACAATCTAAAATTCATGGCATTTATAATCTATTGATAGTCATCATAAAGAAACATAAACCCCTAACCAACAAAAATAGCCATCAAAACAAAGCAACAATGTTAAAAAATAGCAAAACATAATTGTCATTCCTAAAACTATTTTGTTTAATCCTAAAACAAAGCAACAATCCTCTGCCTCCCCTGACATTGTCGGATTGTCGGATGCGGTGGCAGTTGTGATGGCAAAACTCAAAGGAGGAGGAAGAAAATCTTGTCGGAGGTCACGGTGGGTGGCGTGCAGAGGTGACGGCGGAGGTGGTGGTGGCTCGCGGGGAGGCTAGGGTGGCGTGCGCGGAGGCAGCTGCGGTGGTGGCGGAGGTTATGGTGGCGCGACAGTGATGCAAGCGGAGGAGAAGAGACTTCTTAGTTCTTACGTGATGGTGGCGGCTGCGTCGGAGGCTGCGACGGTGGCAGCTGCGTCGGAGGCGACAGCGGCGGTTGAGTCGTCGGCGTCGATGGCGGTTGCGTCGTCGGCGATGGTGGCAGATGCAGCGTGGGAGTCGAAGCAGTTGCGGGGGGGGGGGGGTTTGCACGAAAGGGACTATAAGTGATTTAGGGTTTCTAATGCCCTATTTCATCTGTTGGGTGCCCAACCCGGAAAACAAACCCGGGTCCAAACCAGAAAATAAAATAAAAAAGGCCCAAAACGAAAAAAAAAGGGCCAAAACGAAAAACAAAAAAAAAATGGCCCAAAAACGGCGCCATGTCCGCCACGCCAAACCCGCCGTAACGGCCGCCATCTCCAAAATGGCGGAACCCCGCCATTTTCACCCTAAACCGCCATAAAGGATTGCGGCCGCCGCCACGCCGTTATGGCCCCGTTATGGCGCCGCCATAACCGTTTTTTGATAACACTGCTAACTGCTAGTACAAGAAATCATAACTTACTGCCATTGTGGCCTATTTGGAAACCTAAGATCAAGAAGGGCTATAATGCGAGTGATTAAATGACAAGGGCATGCGACAAAAATATATTCCTTGGTCATCAGGTAGACAGGACTCAGACACAGTGTGTCTTCCCAACATTATAAATAATGCAATTGCCAAAACAAGCGCCCAAAATTTTAGTACCATGGATATCCTGAGATTAAACTTTGCCATCAGGGCTTACTTGAGCAATGACTTTCACTCTTAAAGGTTAGAAATATGGCTTGACCCAAAATTAGCAAAGAAAGAAGATCAACAACATCAAATTCTCAGAAAGAATGGACAGTAAGTTCTTCAAAACCAATTCAACATAACATAATATTTTTAAATCCGTAAGTCAAAAATAGATACCTTCTTAACAAAATAATCAAAACGGGCATCATCAGCTTCTACTATTGAGTCTACACTAAATCGTTCATAAATCTGCAGGGTTCAAGATTTAGATAAGTATTAGCTCCAATATAGAGTAAGGTACAAACATATAGTGATAAATCTGAATAAAAATTGATAACACAGAAGGCAGAAAAATGAATTGCCTGACCTCAATCAACATTAAATACGAATGTCTTTCTTGCCCAAAAACGTTTTTATGAACTTCTCTTTTACAAGAGACGTTTTAGGGATTCTTTTAACTTTTTATCTTATTTAAATTTTATTTATTATAATTATTTATAAATTAAAATTTAATATTTTAAAATTGTTACAGATATTGTGAATATATTACAGATATTGTGGATACATATATTATGGCTATTATCCTCACTATCAATTAGGGATATGATTAGATTAGTTTCTATAATATTAGAGATTAGTATCTCTATCATTTATTGTATTCACTCTATAAATAAGATTGGTATGTGTACAACAATACACACAATTCCTGAATCACAACATGGTATCTAGAGCTTAGGTTT